CACATGCCAAGCCGACAGACAGGGTGCAGCTTCCGAGTCCAAGAGACGATCAGAGGGAGAGTTGGCAGGCTGCGCTGCTGGCAGGCATTGATGGTAATGATGCTTTGATTGGGACTCAGAGCGAGGCTTCAGAGACATGAGAGGGTCAGGCTGATCACTCTCGGGCACACAGAGTCTATCTGACGGCTCCTCAAACATGGCGCCTCACATCAAAGACCGGGCCCAGTCACCCCCCTCCAAGCTCCTGCTAGCAGAACCTTCAGTCACTCCAGAACCCGACCCTCATCAGGAGCGCCCGAACGCACCCTGCAGCAGCTCTCCTGGGATCCTCACGCTTTGCAAATTGACGCTTTAAAAAAAAAAAAAAAGCTGCCAAAGCTATGCGATGCGGGGCAACACACAAATTAGCATGCCGTTTCATTTTGACAGTCAAACACAGATCCCGATGCTCTCTCTCTTTCCTTCCATCAACAGTTCTTTTTATCAAACACTCATTTAAGTTCTGTTTGCTAAACTCCGGCTCCCAAACATCACCTGTCAAACTCAGAGATTCCAAAGCTCTGACTTTTGTTTCTTTTTTAATATTTAGAGCAGCATATTTGTGCAGACCCCTCCCCAAACAGCTAAAATATGAAAAAAAAAAAGGAATTATGGCAATCACCCAAAAACAATGTAATCCATGTTTTAAAAACGTATCTTTTTCCTAAAAGTAAAATATAAACCCAATAAATTAGTAAAAACAGAGTGATAGTTTAATAAAAGACTGCCATCCCAACACTTAAAAGCTTAAAACCCTTAAAGTAGATTCATCTTGTGTTACAGCAGCTCATGCTTACATCTTTTTACATTTTCTGAACCTTTATTCAAGAAGAAAACTGAAACTAATCCAGGTGGGTCTGGAATGAAAAGCATTGTGACCTTGAGGCAAAGCATCTAATGTCCATTTATGAGCACAGTGAAAGATCTGTAATGATGTGGGCTTCTCAATTATCTTTTTAATACAACTGACAATGAATAAATGTTAAATCCTGAATCCTAGCTGTTTCTCTGTTAGCTGAAGCCACTGAAGGAGCTACTGCCACCCATTACTTTTTACGACTTGTTTTAACACTTTGTTTTATAAATGATTTTAAGATTTTATTGCTTGTCTTTAGAGCTTTGAATGGGATGGCTCCTCAATACATTACCAATCTCCTCCAGATTTACTCTCCAGCACGTACTCTGAGGTATGAGGGCCATGTTCAGCTAATAGTGCCTAAGACGAGGCTTAAAACCAGAGGGGATAGAGCCTTTGTCTGTAGTTGGCCCCAGACTTTGGAATACTTTGCCCATCCATATACGAACAGCCCCCACAGTGGAGTGTTTTAAGTCTCATTCTACAGGGTTCCTACAGCATAAGGCAAGTTAAATTCAAGACTTTTTAAGACTTTTTAATGCCACTTGAAATAAAAAAGAAACAANCCATTTATGAGCACAGTGAAAGATCTGTAATGATGTGGGCTTCTCAATTATCTTTTTAATACAACTGACAATGAATAAATGTTAAATCCTGAATCTTAGCTGTTTCTCTGTTAGCTAAAGCCACTGAAGGAGCTACTGCCGCCCATTACTTTTTACGACTGATTTTAACACTTTGTTTTATAAATGGTTTTAAGATTTTATTGCTTGTCTTTAGAGCTTTGAATGGGACGGCTCCTCAATACATTACCAATCTCGCCCAGATTTACTCTCCAGCACGTACTCTGCGGTATGAGGGCCATGTTCAGCTAACAGTGTCTAAGACGACGCTTAAAACCAGAGGGGATAGAGCCTTTGTCTGTAGTTGGCCCCAGACTTTGGAATACTTTGCCCCTCCATATACGAATAGCCCCCACAGTGGAGTGTTTTAAGTCTCATTCTACAGGGTTCCTACAGCATAAGGCAAGTTAAATTCAAAACTTTTTAAGACTTTTTAATGCCACTTGAAATAAAAAAGAAACAAGAAAAACCCGCTTGTGACAATTTAACCCAAAGGTTTACATTAACATAAACCACTGCACTAATGTCTCAAATTTTGAAAAACTTCCCATACAGGAAGAAAGCTAAAAACAAACAAATGACAGAAATATTTTAACAATTATTTAACTGAATTCACAAACTTTGTTTTAGCAGGGAACAAAATAAATCAGTTTTAAAGCCACAACATAACCAGAGCTAAGTCTTTTTTGCAGCTAAAAAAACTCAATTTTGACGCTTTGTGTTTCGTGCTTTGCATGTGCGACTTCCCTGCCTTAATTCCCATCGTTCCGAGCTTGAATCGCTTCTTGCACAAAATCCACTGTGCCTCATATGTGTTCCCTGGTTTTAGCCATGGAGAAAACTTTTGGCTGGATAGACAATTTTACATTTTACATTTACACTTGCTCATATTTTCCAGACAAAAAGTTAATGGCGCATCTCCCAAATGTCCCGGCTGTAACAACGCTTTTATCGGGACGGAACCAATGATGGCGAGGCGTTATTTATTTATTTATTTTTTTTATTAAAAAAATGTTTTCAATTTTAATGTTTTATTTAGATTGCAAATGCAAAAAAGATAAATTTTAACACCGATTAAGGCCTTAGTTTTATTTTGAAGAATTCAATGCCTTTTAAGACTTTTCAAGGACCCGTGGGAACTCTGCTTTAATACCCACTTTTACTCTTTGGCTTTTAACACCACATAATTGTGTGTTCCTCAATGTCCTTTTTATTTATTTATTCATTTTGAACTCTCACTGCTTTTTTTTTGTGCATTTATGTTTTTTTTTTTTGTTAATTTGTTTTTATGTGCAGCACATTGGAAATATTTTTGTAGTCCAATGTGTTATATAAGTAAGGTGGATTGGATTTATTTAACAAAGAACCCCTGGATCTGTGCTTCACAGTCCCTATTTTTGTTTCTGCTTTCTCTTCTCAAACTCAGTCAGTTGAAGCAGAGAGCCGATCAAAGCCGATTAGATAAAAATAACAAATAAAAGTTATTTTTTCAGTAATAATAACGTGAACTTGCCAGCATTGGTTGATTTACAATATATGAATCAGACTTAAAATCATTATTTTACATACAATGATGTATTTCAGATTAAAGGCTGATTTATACATGTAAGAAAATTAAACTACAATAAAAGATCAACTAAAAGTTTTTATTTCACCTTTACTATGGCTGCCTACAGTCATTAAAGGCTGTGAACACAAATTTCCTCACGTAAATTTATCAAAACTGACTGCTGCTGACTAACTCACTGATGATTCAGGTGGATCCTCCGGCTGAGAGAATACTTTATTTTATCCTCTGCATCTCATCCCAGATCTTAGTTACATTATGGCGAGGCAGAGCGTATCTGTAATTCTGTTGCACAACTCTGCGATGCATAATGAAGACCTAATTGAATCCAGACCCGCCACAGATGGATTAAACTTATCTCACATCAGCCGTCTCTGCCAGTAAACCTGGATAAGGATCAAACAGACAGATTTATTGAGTCTTAATGGGGCTGACCTGATGGTGCCAGAAATGAGCCAGTGTCTTAGCAATGCACACCGCTCCTGTGAGGAAGGAGGATTTTATTTTGCATGGAAAGAAATAACTTTCTATTTAATAATAACAACCTTTGTTCATTTTCTGCAACTTCAACACAGATCGGTGTTTTTTAAGGTAAAACAGTGAAAACAATCACTTGACAGCCATATTATTTGAGTTTACATCAAAGTGCATACAAATACTCTGGAAGAACAGAGACATTCACTCTTTTATTAAAGGTTGCAAGAACAAAGTGCTGTCTGTCCGCAATATTTTATACTCCTAGTAAGTCTATACAGGTCCCTCCCACTGCAGCAAAACCACTTCACAGATACCACAGAAGTAGTTCTGCTTCGATTACAGCTGCCAGACCACAATGATGTCATATTGTTCCAAAAAATGCAATTGTTTTAGAGAATGTTTAGGGATTCCTGCATCCCTGCTGTTTCCAACCAGCACAGCCTGATTGCTCAGTTGCAGCTTTTGATGGCTTCTTCATACATCCAGCTGGAACATTTTCTCAATATATCCAGATTTTCTTTAAACGTTGTTTCCTATCAACCACTCCTCCCTCTAAAGTGCACCCTTTCATAGTGATACTTGGACATGGCTTTCTCTTTGATCCTTTTTAGAGTATTTTTTTAACTTTTTTCAAACTTTTCACTTCACTCTAACCCACAAATCACCTAAAGACCCCGAATCAACTCTTGACAACCTGCAGAAACATTAAAGTGAACCTTCAGACACTTTGCTACAGGCTATATTAATCACATTTGTNTGTGCGGGCTGCTTTAAACGGACCGTTCGTATGCGGGCTGCCTATATACGGACCGTTCATATGCGGGCTGCCTGTATACGGACCGTTTGTATGCAGGCTGCTTTATATGGACCGTTCGTATGCAGGCTGCTTTATACGGACCGTTCGTGTGCGGGCTGCTTTAAACGGACCGTTCATATGCGGGCTGCCTGTATACGGACCGTTCATATGCGGGCTGCTTGTATACGGACCGTTCATATGCGGGCTGCCTGTATACGGACCATTCGTATGCAGGCTGCTTGTATACGGACCGTTTGTATGCAGGCTGCCTGTATACGGACCCTTCGTATGCGGGCTGCCTATATACGGACCGTTCATATGCGGGCTGCCTGTATACGGACCGTTTGTATGCAGACTGCTTTATACGGACTGTTCGTATGCATGCTGCCTGTATACGGACCGTTCATATGCGGGCTGCCTGTATACGGACCATTCGTATGCAGGCTGCTTTCACAGGATAGTGATCAATGTCACATTGATGAATATTTATGATCATTTGAATCCCTGATCAGGAAGGGTGGAGATTCTGTCTAAAATTGGAGTGGTAGAAGAAACATTTTGAGAAACTGAAGCCTGCTTCTATCTTCATTTATCTTGAATGAATCTTGAGTGAAGTTAAAAAGTTTTTCCAGAGCGTTTTACCTGAACATCTCTCCGAGTCCCTTCAACATTCCTTTCTTTGGTTTTCCTTTTTCCTTCTCCTTTCCTCCGTCCTGCTTCTTCTTCTCTTTCCCTGTTTTGTCTTTGTCCTTCTTCTTCTCCTCCTTGCTGCGGTTGGTGCCATTGACCAGCGGCTTTTCTGGCCCTGGGGACAGCGGGGTCTGGTCTGCCACAGTGGAAACAGAGTCCCTGCCCGATCGTGAACTCTCCTCTGTGTCCTCCTCCACTGAGAGCAAGAAACATGGGAATCAGTTACAGTACAGATTGCAACCAAAAAGTCTTTAAAACTTTAATGCATCGTAGTTATAAATGTGAAGTTTCTGACAAAGTTAAACTACTAGAGTTCTGCTTTCCATTTAAATGGAAACCATTAAAGTGTAAAGACACTGGGAAATGACTGAAAGCAATACATTACTTTTTCCTCTAACTATAATTGGATAGTGAATGCATTTAAAAAATAATTTGCTTCTTTAACTCCTTTCAGATTTATTTCCTTTTTGCCATCCTGTCCACCTTAATGTTTCAAATCAACCAAGAAACACTTAACATTAAATTTATCCCAAGTAAATAGAAAATGCAGCTTTTAAACTGTGATAACAAAAGGTTTCTAAAACCATCTTGTTTTGAAGGTGTAAAAGCTAATTCCTGTTTAATTTACCGGTATATATATAGCAGACTGGAAAGTGCGCGTGCGTGAAAAGTCTGTTTAAGGTTATAGTACAAACTTTGCAATCAGAAGCAAGTCCAAAGACTTTGACTAGACCATTTTGAACCTTGAATGTCTATTTGGGAGGTAAAAATGCTGATGTGTTTTCAATAATTTTCCTGCTGCATAACCAAAGCGCACTTAATCGTAGGAACACTAACTAACTGCTGGATATGCACCTCTATAGTTGTCTTGCTACAGAAAACTTCAGTTTCATCAATTATGCCGAGTCATCCGTGTCTGGAAGCAACAAAAAAAAACCCTGATCACCTCCATGCTTAACTGCTTTATCAGGATACAATGTTTATTGGTTTGTTTGGATAAAACAGGGAAAGTCTGTCTAAGATTTCCATTCAGTTCAAACTCAAGTCAATATAAAACAATTTAATAGACCTGTAAAAAGTGAATAAATAATAAAAATTTAAACACTTTATTTCAAAGCCTTTACAGACATTTGATATTTAACTCAAAAACAGTAATGTTCTAATAATAATATTAATAAATCATTGTAAAATAAAGGTTTGTCTTTTAGATGATGAAGTGGATCAATGTTTTAATTTTAGCGTTGATAGAATAGATTAGTTTCATCAAAATTGATGAAAGGATTCATTTATATAGATCTAATTACACCTAAGGGAATACACAATTTGTAAAAAGCTAATATGCTACAATATTCTGAATTTAATCTTAGGGGCCTTTAAGAACATTAATGCTAAACTTTCATTCATTTGTTTTACCTGATCCATAATAAGCTAAACATGGAGTGTTTTAGGGAAAAATAAAAGTATGGTAAGGTTAAGGTTACATAGTAAGGTTTTTCTTATTAAATGAATGAACAGTTTTCAAATTTCTTGCAGAATATCAATTGATTTTGATATTCCTGAATATTGTTGAGACCCAAGAACCAGTTTGAGCTCACCCTTCATTTGTGTTTTCTTAATTTAGCCAAGTAAAAAAGGAAAGAAAATGTAGACTTAGCTGCACCAAGCACTGCTGCTGCCAAGTAAAGGGCGTGTTACAGTCCCACAGCAGTGTGTCGCAGAAACAAAACAAGCCGGTAAGGTACCAAACAGGAAATACTAATACCGGTAGATTTGACCAATCAGAGGCCTCATGTCTGCGGTCACCTATAATGTTGAAGAGGTACAGCAGAGTGTCTGGGGAAGGGGCAGGGGCATATCTGCGTTAACTGCGACACACGCAGACGACCTGGTTTCTGAGTATAAATCAGCCTTAAATGTTGCCTAATATCTAAATCAATTCAACTCATCTAAAGTTATATTTACAATAAAATTAAAAAGAAAGCAAACACTGTCACAATGAAAAAGTTCAAACTTGGGGTTCCACATTTTTCAGGATAATTGTAAAAATATAGCTAATATTTAAAGAGAAAATCTCCATCTTTTTCCCATTACTGTGACAATTTTCAGATCTGTCCAGGGACAACAGATGAAAAATAGCCTTTTAGCTAATTCTGGTGCATTAATTCTGCTTTTTAATGTACACTGTCCCTGTCAAATAAATAAATAAATAAATAAATTAAATTAAATAGAAAGAGTCTTGATGGACCACCAGCCTGGCAGGGACTGCAGATGGAAATGATGCCTAAATCTGACACCTTTACACGTTGCAAGGTTCATCTGCATTTAATCTCATAATAGATCAACCAAGTAACAATTAAAAACAATGCTCAAACTAAAATAGGGATGTATATGATATCCAGTATGGTTACAACCTGAGTGATTAAAAAGCCATAGCCGAAAGCAGTGAGACCTCCTGCTGCCAGATATCAGGCATTAGTCATTCTGCTGTCACTCCCATGCAATAAGTTTTAGTGAAAAACACTCCAGGACTGCTTTGTTAGGACTCATCACAGTTAGTGTTATATGCAAAAACAATCCAATAACAATTACATCCTTGGCATAAAATTCCAGGAGTCAGAGGTTGTTCAGTGGAACCCCAGGAATCGTTTCTGTGAAAAAGAATTCAGATCAAATGGATACTGTGGCATCTTACAAGTCTCCATGCCCTCGTCGTCATCCTCTAAGGCCGCCGGTCGGTCGTAGGATTTGTCGATAGCTGCTCGGAAGCTCTCGTTGCAGCCCCGCCCCCTTATGATGCGAGGCCGGGGCCTGTGGAAGGGGAGGTCCCCGTTGAGGGTGACCTCTGCAACAGCAGTCTGGAGGCTTTCAAGAGAGCTGGACTTCTTTAGCCCTAGTGAAGGTCCAACATCTTTAGTGGAAGAACCTGATGGAGACCATAAAGAGGAACGATAGAGAGGAACTGAAGCAAAATCATTTCAATAACTTCATTTACTATATTATCATTACAATCTATCATATAACAGCACTTAATGCTTAAATCTGGAATGTTTCCAGTGTTTTCAGGGAGGGACCGATATTAGGGAGGAGTCAATTCTTAAATATTTTAAAAGTAAGTCAGAGTCGAATCAAGAGTCTTTACAATTAAAGTTTAAATTCATTGGAGCCTAACGAGTCCCTTTACTCATTTTTAGAGAAAAAAGTCAGTGGCAGGTCTTAAAACTCGGCTGTGAGAAGATAAGAGTTTCTAGTCTAGACGGCAACTCCAAGTCCTCTTAAATCTTTATGGTTTTACCCTTTAATAAACAGAGTCAAACTTTTGGATCTGAACCTAAATTTGTGACATTAGCTTAGATTATTTGATTCTAACAGAAGAAAACCCAGTTAAGAACTGAGACTTTGTGTTTAAGAATAATCTCAATAATAAACCTTTATCATGGTGTGTGTTTAACTCATAACTCTGTACTTCCTAAACCTTGACCTGGCATATTGTTAAGTCTCTTAATTAAGTTTAGCTTTACTAATTTTTATTGAGTTTGACGCATTATTAAATTACTTGGAGGATTCATTAGCATTTAAATGCAATTTATGGCCATCCTACACATTTTCCACATTTGCTTAACTTCAACAAAGTCATAGCTTAAAAACAATTTAAAACTAATCAATGTCAAATAATTACCTGATATTTGAACATTCATATTAAATTATTTATCATTAAAATGATGAATGATCCAGACATAATGGTGGAATATTACATTAATTGGTACTATATGTGAACAAATGACTAGAAGCCTGATTTATTGATTTATTTTAATCAAACACAAATACTAATATCTGAAAACTACTAGACCTACAATTATTTTCATTATTTGATGCAATATTAATTTCACAGAACAATAAGACATTAAATGAAGAGGCTGTTTCAGCAGAAGTACTGATTTATTTAGTAAAGGGTGTTTGGGTTTAAACCCATCCAGCCTGTATTAAACCTGAAAGGTCCTGAAAGGGATCAAAATAGTTCTTCAGAGGTTCCAATGCTGCTGAGGAAGGACATTACAGGAGAAACACCTCGTCCACCTGAACAGATGTACCCTCCTAAGGGATGACGAGCAATAAAAGGCGACACCAACATGCTGTAATTGAACCAGGATATTGTTTTCGAGATGATTGTGTGTTCACGTGTCATTCCTCCTAACTGACTGCAAACTTCATTACAACACCAGGCTGTAAATTAAAATAACCATCAGCAAAACTGGAAAAAACATGACACTTTAATTAAACTCGGAGAAATCAGTCGGTTCTAATCCCCATATGGCCTCTTTTACATGAGCGGGGCGGACGCAGTGGGAGTAATAAATGAAAAAAGGTGATGAGGGATGGAAGCAAATAAAAGAAAGAGTTCTCAGTATCCTGGGTCAGTTTCATTTGGAAACTGGGCGTTGCACTGCTGACTGATGAAAAAGGACGAAGACGTCATAAAGACAGAATGTAAATCCAAATATAATACATTAACAGGAGCTAAAAACAACATTTTGAGTAGTAGCTGCTTCTAATATTGTACTGATAGGGATTTAATAAGGCTATATTTAGAATAAATGTACTAGGTGTTATTTATTTGTTGGGACTGTGAGGCTCTGTTTGTGCGTTTAATTCATTTGTTGACATTTTGCCTGAGTTAAAGTCGGTTTCTTTGAGCTCTTTAATAAGCATAGTATTTATTTTTTATAAATTCAACCTATTGGGTTAAAATAGAAACCCAGTTTTTCTATAGATTCATTCAAATCTTCATATTTTTCAATCTAGTCCATCACAAAGCTCAGATGTTCTACCCGGATAATCTTACAGTTAATTTTCCCCTTAATTAAAATATTTAGCAGGTAATGTCTTAAATTTAGCTGGACAAACACAACAATAAAGTAATGGCATCTGAATGAGATGCTTTTCATTTGGTGGAGCCACACATGACTTAGGGAAAAAAATGCCATCTGACTTGTTGCTATGGTGATTCCCACCACTTTTAATCAGAAACCGAATTAAAGCAACCTTGGACACTATGCCAATACAATCTACAATGAAACCTTGACTCAGTAGCAGTTAGAATATTTTTTTCCAGCTTTGGAAACATAAATTGAGCTGTAAATTCTTTTACCAACCATCTATGAGCAATGGTCGAATACCTATTCAGTTTTTGTTATCGTTCAGATTTAATCTTTTCATCAAGGTTACATTTAGACACTGGTATTTAAGGCTCCATTTATAAGGGGACATTTTATTTAATCCAGTTCAAGAGAAAGAAAGGAACCAATGTTTTAATTTTATGTCTAATGGTCGTTTTGTTAAAAATATTAGTGGAGTGTTGGCCTAGTGGTTAGAGCAGTGGGACTGTGCTCTGAGAAGGTTGCAAGAACCCATATCAATCCCCACAGCCTGCACTGCGGGTCTCTGAGCAAGACCTTTAACCCCCATTCTGCTCTGTGGCTCCCGCACAATGGCAGCCCACTGCTCCCCAAGGGGATGGCTAAATATGTAGAGAGTGAATTTCTCCATTGTTTGACCAATCAAGTTCAATTTCTATTTCAATTTGTAAAATGTGAGGATTCAAACTAACTACAGTTAGTATGAAATGTTTTTGTTAATCATGGTTTAAAACATTTTTTAAATCCTATTGTGATCTTTTGTTTTAAAAGCTTTTAGCTGATACATTTGGAGAAAATATCAGCTGCGCTGCTGCCATCAACGCTTTGTTTATAGATGTTGGAGATCAGCCTATTTTCCAGTGTAGTCCTGTTTCTCTGACTGTGACTGGCTGGATGTTCTCTCTTCATCCTCTGGCATGGGAGTTGGCTGGGAGCTCGTCTGCCTGGCTGTGTGTTTCCTGGATGGGGCCGCCTTTTACAGCTGCTTTTTGTATCTCTGCTTCTGTCTCCTTGAACCCCAGTCGGCCTCGGCAAACGGCTGCTCACACTGAGCCTGGTTCTGCTGGAGGTTTCTTCCTGTTAAAAGGGAGTTTTTCCTCTCCACTGTCGCTAATATCATGCTTAGTGTGAGGGATTGTTTTTGAGTCAATGAGTCGATGGTTTTCCTTAGAGAGAAAAGTTTGAATCATTTTGACTGTATGATCAGAATTGGCGCTATATAAATAAAGTGAATTGAAATCCTCCATTTTAAATCTTAATTAGGAAAATTTGTTAACACGCTTCAATTTCATATCAGAATATTTTCAAGTACTCAATGTTGAGTACTTGATATTGCCGAGGAAAAAAAAAACTGAATAAGACACAGATGGAGGCAAAAAAAAAAAAAACACTCAACTGGAAAATTGAATACATGCAGAGCGAACAAGCCTGTGGGTTAGCGGCCTCCCATTTATTCCCATCAGCCTGTCCTGTTCCCTTAATGTCTCAGCGAGAGCCACGCTGATGTGCTTTCCACGCTGCACATCCACTTTATTTAAAGGCACTATCTGCTGCCATTCACAACAGTCACACATCGGTGACAGCATTAAGAAAAGAAAAACAAATAAATGAGTAATTGACATATTATTGGGGATCTGAAAAACAGCCGCAAACAGGAAAACTTTCCCCGACTCTGAACTCGCCAAATTGATTTCTTGTGAAACTCTGCTCAGTCAGGTACCTGCTCACAAACAGGAGATAAACAGGCTTAAAGAAAACCGGCCGCCTGTTTTATATAGGGAGAAAAGAACTTAACCGGCAGGTCAGACAACGATGTTTAGATAATAGCTCAAATACATCACCTCATATCTGGCAACCGGTCGGTCAGTATAATCAACCGCTATTCAGGCAGAGTGGGACAGCAGTTCATCTTCTTACAAACATTATCCTTGTAATTTCAGCTCCGACGGCCTTGCCATAACAAATAAAGACGGATCACGAAGCAGCCGGTACAAGAGGAGGACCATCTCAGCTGCCAGAAGCAACTATTGATTCAGTCTGCAGAAAATAAGTCACGTCGTTTGATTTCACTGCCTCGTTTAGTTCTCTGCAGTTAACTTTGGAATGACTTTAAATTACAAACTTGGCTCCACTGATGAGGGATGCTTTCTATAAACTTTATAAAGTCAACTCACACAGAAGTGAATTGCTATCAACAAATAAGGAAACAACGGCTTAGCTAAAATGGTAGGTAATTTTATTTAGATGAGTTTATTAAAATGATCTTGATTACATTAATTTGCGGCACTCTCTATTACTAATTAAAGGAGAAATCTGGTCACATTCAGAATACAAACTTCTGAAAATACTTTAAGGATGTAATTATTGCATACTTTTCAACAAATAAGTGATTTTAATTAAGAGTAATTTTCATTTGAATGTGCTTTACTGGAGAAATCCATTACTGCCACCTACCGGTTTGTGACGTCACGGTTTGGTATTGGCTGTTAAGCAAGTCCCAGTGCTGTATCTGGTGTTTGTAACAACACTCTATTATCCATGATGGTGATGACCAGTGCACTATGCGAAGCAGGGAGTAACGGATTAATTATGTGTTTTGTCTGTGGCCAGAAGTTCGCTGGCAAATCTTCCCTCTTCAAGTTGGCAATTCAATGATGAATCGGTCCTTGGGGGCTCATGAAACGGAAAGGTGACATTTTTTTTATTTTTATTTTTTTCACTTTTACCTGATGTATTACAACTTCCAACTGCCATGCACGTGGGCATTGTCAGTTTAACTATAGCTCTCACAAATTTCAATGGTGAGGAACTCTCAAAATCTTAAGTAACTGTTGTTGATTGCAGATGTGTCAGGTAGTTTGCGCTGATTTTTGCTGTAAAGTTGGGAAAATGGCGCTAGGCTTACTGCACCGTGACGTCACTGCCAGAAGATGTCAGGAGTGAGGTGTTACTATATTTGGACAAAAACATCCGTTCCCGGACTCAGTCATTGTGACGAAAATTATTATAT